CACACACAGACACACACACACACAATTGCCTTCATGTAGATTCAGTTGGATTGCAGAGAAAAACATGTGAAAAAACAGTGAGGAAACTCTGCCAGAAGCAGCTCAAAAGCTCCCTGGAGAATGAATGCTCTCATGAGAAGTCCTTGTTTTTCACTGGTTTCTACAGTTGACTCCACCTCTGTAGCACCACACGGCTTCTTTTGATCAATGCTACAATAGTATGAATTCACAAAGGATGTGTTTGGGCTAACATGTTACCTGAGAATCAGGAGGTTTGTTTTTTGTCCTTGGCAAGAATGTAACCTGCTGATGTACCAACCCTACCTAGGAACTTTCTCTGCTGTGGAGGAAAAAAATAAATCAGGATGACTAAATACATGAACAACCAAGACATTCTTCTGGGCAACAGTGAAATACAATGAAACAACAACAGCAACATAGTGAAAGAAGTCCTTGCTTTCTCTTGAGCACTCTCATCTACAGATTACTAGGAATGCTGAGCTGTGGCTGAGTTGTTGCTGGAAGAATCAACAAACATTTTTTCTGCAATTCTCCATTTTCTTATTACTTGAATATTTGCATGTATATTATATTTTCTGAACTAGTATATCTTTATTCTCAAACTAAGTTGTGGGGTTAGGAGGAACTTGAGGCTTCCAAAAAGAATACAGTACTGTAGATGCCCAGAATGTGGCCAAACCAATAATAATAATAGTAGTAATAAGAGGAATGATGGCGGTTTCTGGATGGTATTTTGCAATTGCCCTGGGAAGTGTTTGACAGGTAATTGCAATAGATACTTTGACAGGCTGCTGACTCAGATGTGTAATCCACATGATATATATGCAAAAATAGAAGTGTTTTCTGCTGAATATTATCCTATAGTTATAGTACCGGAGAACTGGATGCTCTTTTTCTTTTTCCCCTATAGGATCTGTGATCATTATGTTGATTTGGCATGTCTTCTAGACCTCAATATTTCACATTTTGAGTTGAGATTTAATCAACTTGGGTGGAAAGAAAAGAACCAAAGCATAAGGAAAGTGTTGGTGTAATTAGCTGACCCAATTCCCCACTTCTGTGACATACTAAAATAGAGGTTTAGAAATACAGTAATAAGAAAATAAGAGGAGAAGAAAAGAAATTAGAAAAACAAAGCAGCGTAAGCATTGCTTTTGAAAATAAAAATCTACAAATATTTGTATTTTATATATGTTACTTCAAGGGTGAATTGTTCTAGCAAAGTGGGGGAACAGGGTGACTTTGGCAGCATTGTCACCAGTCAGTGCTGTTGAATTCAGTAGATCTAATTCTAAGTGTATTCAATAATTCTTACTAAGGGGAATTATGACAGGATATTTGCAGATAAAATTTTTAATTTTTATAGAAACAACACAGAATTATGCTTATGAATCTGACTTCTGGAAGAAACACGCTGTAAATAATGCATTTCAGTTGGAGTGTAACGTCAGTCTTGCTAGTCTTACAACTAGATTTTAAAATTATACTTTTTTTTTTTTTTCTGAAAGTACAGGAGACCTCTCTCCTTGATTACTGAGGTTTATTCTTGCTCTTTTTAACTTCTCCTACTACATTTTTTTTTCTTTCTCTTCTAATTTTGGACTTTATTCTTCCCTTTTTATTAAGATCTTAGCTTAGTCCCATCTGCCTCTACAAAGGAAAGGACCAAAAGGACCTTTTGCCTGTTTTAATACACGAGGTAGAGCTGCAAACAGTGACCAAGAAAAGCTGATGTTAGTAGTGAAGTTGTGCCACTGTATTGCCCTTTTAGTTCTCTTTCTTTGTGGACAGTACTGTCTCATGTTTGTCTCTGAAACTACTGTTGGCCAATATTTGACTACATCTTTAGAAAATATAAATTAACACAGAGTTTGGAGTACAAGAAAAATAACTGCATTTATTGCTTTATTAGCAACCTGCTCTATTAACATTTTAGGAAACAATATACATTGAGAATACAACCTAAAGCTGACTGAGCTCAGGTTTTGGTCAGTTGGGTATATAGAGATAAATACCCTGGCTTTTTTTTTTTTTTTTTTTAATTTGTTGGTGAATATTCATGTGAAGTTCAGACAACAAACAGATAAAAGCAGAACTCTTCTTAACGATATATGCATATTTCAGTTCAGGGGTAATCATAGTATTCTTTCACTAAATGAATAGCCAATTTTTATCTTGTGTTGGAGAAAAGCTTGGTTGCAGGTTTTTTGCATATTTCCTGGTTTCCTGAAGCAGAAAAATAGTTGAAGTTAGATTTGTGTATTATCTGTTTCTTACCTTAATTGTAATGTCTTGGTACTGTGGGTAAACAGATACTTAAGATTTTTCAGAAGTAAGATGTATGTTTGTAGTCTAGGTATGGAAGGAAGAGATGTTTTCCAGCTGTAGATGGTATGTTATTAAGAACAAAAAAATGTTCCTAATTGCATAAGTAGTGACTCTCTTTGTGCTCTCAAGTGCTTTAAATTCTTTTAAGCTCTTTTATTTGAAATGAAATAGGTATGTAATAGTAGTGGTGAAAGTCCACAGTAAAAAGCATTCAGTTTATCATTGTACATAAAGCATATCTGAAGAGCGTGGGCTCAATTATCCTCAAAGTAGTGGAGTGACTTAAAAGATCTAAGGGGAAATAAACTGTTGACTCTGAAGAAAAGTGACATGTAGGGTTTGCTCTAGGGATCATTCAAAAGCATTCTCAGCCCCTATCTCCAGGGATGGCTGCGGGAAGTTAAAACAAGCTTGCTACAATGCAGGGATTGGCTTTGGTGACCTTTTGTAGGTTTCTTTTGAGTCCTAGACTTCAGGGCTGCTCTAGGCTATGCTCGCATGTGTCTCTGCACTCCTTCACATCTCCCTCAGTTGAGGTTTGAATAGTTGCATATCATTCCTGTATGGAAAAAGTATATTTTGGATTATTTTTTTTTAACCTAAGCATTGTTTGCTTTCTTCCAATTTCTGTCTTTTATTTACTAAACTGTTTTTCTCTTGCCTGAATAGAAAATGCAGCATCAACCTTTCCTGTGTGTGAGGATCTCATATAGCAATTCCTCTTTCCAGACACTGAATTTGTAGGTAGTTGTGTGATGAGGAGAGAATTGGAGGGTAAAGTCACCTGTACCAATACACAGAGGGTGTATTGTTTTCTACTTGCTTTACTGTCTTTGGTAGATTCAGAAATATATTTTTAATTATACTCTGAGTTTGTCAGAAATAAGCTTGTTTCTTTAGCTTCCTTCATGATTGTGTCAAAGAGTTTCATTTCAAGGATGTAGCTGTGTTTCTTCCTTACTCATTTTTTTTCCTGGCTGTAACGAACCTCTATAGTATTTAAAAACCCAGAATCCCCTATCCCTTAGCAGTGAGAATTCTCAGTGTCCTCTGTAAGCCGAATGTTAAACTTATAGTAAACTCCTCATTATAAATGAAATAATTATGTCTGCTTAGAAGCATATTTTTTTCAATATAAATGTTGAAATCCCTTCCTGATATTTTTGCAGAATGATTCATAAGAAACCGTGCAGAACATAGATGTACCCAGATTGAAAATGTTATATGCCTTCCCACATATAAAAATGAAATGTGTGTTTTGCTACTAAGATTGCAAATACTTCATTGATGTCTGCATATAATTAAACGTGTTAGATTTTCTTTCCGGCTGTACATACTTGCAAATGTTTCCTGAATGCCAACAGCTGTTATTAGGAAAATATGCCCTGATAAACCTGCTGCTTCTGCAGAGGTTGTTTTATATAAAGCTTAAGAACACAGTGGCTGTTCTTACCCAAGTAACGCTAGAAATATTTCGTGATCTAAAATTTCATTTTTTAAAAAACAGTTGCATATAACAAAGTTGTTTTCAAAGAGGATAAACCAATTAAAAAATGAAAGGACCTAAAATGTGAAAATTTAGTCATGTTTTTCAAGTGAGTTATTTAGTAGGTTATAAAACATCTATTCCAAACTGAACTTGTGCTAATTATCATACAACTACAGCATTTGGTGAACTTAGGGAAGAGTGGCTCTTTCACCCGTGTTGGTTGCATTTCACATGCTCTCTACCTTACTAATTCCTGTACTTCTAGTTCTCTATATCAACTGAGATTTTAGCCTGTCAGGAAGAACTTTCACAGTCCCCAGCTTCCCATCTGATAGTCTGTCTTATAGAGACTGCCTCACATTCCAGGTAAGGTGGTGATGATGTCCATACGGTCTCCACCAGGCTTCATGGAATAAGATGGTCCAACTCAAGTTTCCTGTGTGTTTTTTATTCCATGTTTCTCTTCCCTCCTATTCTGTGGAGTGCTCTAGACAGCCAACGTTTCGCTTTTTTTCTTCTTCTCAAGGTTTTCCTTCTCTTCTTTGGTGGGGTGTGCAAAAATGACAGTGCAGCTCACTAGGAATTGTTCAGCGTAGTTTTCTGACTCTCTTGCACAGCTTTAAATGGAGGAAAAATTAGGAAATCAGATTAGTTAACCACAAGTAAAGTTGAAACAGTGAGGGAGGGAGACAGTCTTGTACAGTGGCTTCAACCCTTTTTGTTTTGCAGCCTTGCAAACTTTTCAAGGGGAGTGTCTCCAGGAGAGTGTATTTAAAACAATTCTGATTTTCAAGGTGACCACTAGAAGGAGGCCATACTTTTCCCCAGTCAGGTCCTGCTGGTTGAAGCCACTCAGCTGACGTGTTTGACTAGCTGGTGTGTACCAAAATGATGTAATGTGGAGGAAGATCATTACCTATCTCAAGGAAGGAAGCAACAACAACAAGTAGTGAATGGACATAGGCATTTACCAGTAGTTCCTTTTGGTGCTAGATTCACACTTTGTTTACATAAATCTACCCATTCTAGTTGAGACTTTGAAATCTATTGCTTTATTCCAAAAACTTTGATTATATTTAATTATTTTTAAGGATAAATCTCAGAAAGTTGATTGATTAGATCAATTTAGATCAATTTTGTCTTTTCTGCTTTACTTTTTCAGGATTGCACAGTATATGAAACAGAGAATAAAATTCTTCATGTGGTAAGTAGTTTTTTGATTTTTATTAATATATTTATATCGAATTCATAGGATTCTATCTCTGTGTGTTTTTTGCTTTTTCTGTGCAATACCAATGTAATAATGAACTAATCTGGGTATGACTGACTGCTGAATATATGGAAATAAGTATGAGTAGTAATGACTGTTAGGAAAGCCAAACTTGGCATGTGAGAAGTCTGAAACTTCACAAGGGCTTGTGTTTTACTCTAGTTCACACCCATCTGTTATTTGTAAAACATGGTTAGAAGAATGATTTTGAAAAATGGGATTTTCTTCTAGAGAACTGTTTGCTGGGCTTTTATGAAATCGTATATATTTGTCAGTAATATAGCTTCATTTATACAGCTTTATTTCTCTTAGGATTGTGGAGCTAGTCCAGTGATACGATTAATGCAATACTTTCCTGCTGAATTCACAGAATAAATACAACTGTTTATTCCCAGAATCCATACTGTTATCTGTAGATAGCAAATAAAACAGGTGAAATTCATGAGAACTTAACACCAGAACATAGGATGCGTTGGAAGGGCTGATACTTTGGGGGATGGAGAGTCAGAAGCTTAACCACAACTTGTCTGACACAGTACCTAACTTTCAGATGTTAAATTGTCTTTCATGTTGTGGCTATGGTTTAGTGAGTATTTAGTTAACCCTGACCCTGCTTCTAAACTTTCAATATGAAGTTGTTCTTCATAAGAGTAAATAATGAAATTAATCATATTTTATATCTCACTTTGCTTCACTTTTAGGTAGGTTTTGATATCTTATTTTTCTTGTTATAGTTTAAGCAAGAAAAAAAAAACACTTTAAAATATGATCTTCCCAATTACTTTTGCTGTACTTTTTTATTCAGTGCTCCCATATCAAATGCATGGCAAACTGAGTTCTGTAATCTTTTGACACTTAGATTTCACAGTGATGTGCAATAAAAAGTCTCCTTGTATTTTTAAGTTACACTGACATTTTTTCCCCCGTGGGACACAAGGAATTTGCATTTTTAGTCAGGTTGACATCATCGTCTTTGCTAGGCTGAGCTCTGCAAGCATTTAAGTAATGAAGTTTTTAATTACATAATCTTGGCAAAAGTTGAAGTGCTGTAAGTTTGAAATCATTATATAAAGCCTGGTTTTCAATACATGCTTGTTTTGTGCTGTAAGAGCCAAGAGTTTTGACATCTGCTATATACAGCATATATCATTTACAAATTAGCAAACAGGATTGGAAAGAGAGCTGGCAATGTTTAGAGCTGATAAAGCATCAGTTAATGTAGTCTTCAATGGACAATTTTGAGGAAACCAAGGGATTCATTTAAGATATGTGAATGGAAAAATTTGAGACAGGTTTCATTATATTTACATGAAAACTAACTGTACATGATGAAGTTATATTACCTTACATCATTCAGATTCACACAGGCTTATTTCTTTAATCTACAATAACCACTTTGTGGTGACAGGTGGACATATAAATTATTGTTGAGAGTTTAATTAGGGTCTATGATTAGTGCTCAAGCTTGCAAGGAAACATGAACAAACTGTTGAACTGATTGCAAAAGCTTAGGATTAAAGACGACTGTAGGTGTTGTACATAACTTGGATCATTTCTGAATGTTTCTGAACATGTTGCATTTCAATTGATGGATGGGATTTCATGAAGCAAAAGCAAACAAGGAAAGAAATCTGTGGCTGAATAATTAAAAGATGGGATTTGAAATCATATTTTGAATTTGAAAGGGAATATTTTAAAAGTGCAAATTAAAAGCTTGAGGAAAGAACTGAAATTGGAAGTAGTCTCTGTTCCCTGTAACTCCTCTCCTGGGAAGACAGGAAAAAATGTGCTGTGGCCTTAGCTAAATAGACAGTTAAAAATAAAAATTAAAAAAAAAAAAAAAAAAAAAAAAGAAGAAGAAAGGAAAAAACAAAAGGATATCTCAAGATCTTGAGTGAGCATGGTATGTTTTATGCCAGTGTAAAACAAGACCAAGGGCCACGTCCTGCACCTGGGGCGCAATAACCCCAAGCAGCACTACAGGCTGAGAGATGAGTGGTTAGAAAGCTGCTTGGCAGAGAAGGACCTGGGAGTATTGGTTGATAGTCGGCTGAATATGAGCCAGCAGTGTGCTCAGGTGGCCAAGAAGACCACCAGCATCCTGGCTTGCATAAGAAACAGTGTGGCCAACAGGGCTAGGGAAGTGATTGTCCCCGTTTACTCGGCTCTGGTGAGGCTGCACCTCGAGTACTGTGTTCAGTTTTGGGCCCCTCGCTACAGGAAGGACATCGAGGTGCTCAAGTGAGTCCAGAGAAGGGCAACAAAGCTGGTGAGGGTTCTGGAGAAGAAGTCTTACAAGGAGCGGCTGAGGGAGCTGGGATTGTTCAGCCTGGAAAAGATGAGACTCAGGGGCAACCTTATCCAGTCACCATCCCTGGAGGTCTTTAAAAAACGTTTAAATGTAGAGCTTGGTGATACGGTTTAGTGGAGGACTTGTTAGTGTTAGGTCAGATGTTGGACTCAGTGTTCTTGGAGGTCTCTTCGAACCTAGATGATTCTGTGATTCTGTGATATTAGTTGCCTTTTTAGATATCAAACTGGACTGTGCATCCTAGAGGTGAATGTTACTAAGAAGGTTCTCTGATATGAAAAGAATAGTAGTAAATTTTAGTAAAGGCATAGAAAGAGTCTTAAGTGAGAAATGTGGAAAAACTAGCAGATACTGGGGGGAGAGGCCACACAAACAAGTAGGACCTACAGAGAAAGTAAGTTTTCTCTACTTAAATTAAAAGATGAAACTATTTTAAGTCTGTTCTCTGAATACATTTCCCATTAGCAATCCGTGCACTCTCGTTTGGGTAACAGAAATATATCTGGCTAGCATTGGATCCAGCTACCTCTGAGTGATCAAATACCAACGTATAGCTGTGTTAGCTGGGGTGACTTACAGAGGAACTTGAATTCAAAGCCATGGGCTCTTCCTGTATGATTTCATGTACCACGTTCTCTTCATGACAGAAGAAACCACAGTTCCTCATGAAAGCAAAAGGCAGTGACTTACAACTGATTGGCAATTAATGTAATTAATCTGTGGAAGTTATTGTTGCAAGGTATTGTTCTCACTAAGGACTGAAGTAAAATTTTAAAAGCTCCTTTTTACTAAAAAATAAAAATAAAAATAAAATCCTACAACTATGGCAATAAAAATAATCTAAATGGCAAGTACATACTCTTATTCTTTCGGATACCAAGACATTTTCCACCTTAGGATCATTGGATCCAAGTAGTTGATTTTTATCCACATCACCTATTGGTGGTCCAGCAATTTTACTTCAGAGCAGGTGTTCTGAAGGTTCTGGGTTGAACATCCCCATCATGATGGGGATAACCCATCACAAAAGTGTTGTTTTGGACTGGTTCAGGGGCTGGAGCTGAGCAGGCACACATCTTCTGTGGGGATGCTGCCCCATGCTCAGCAGAATGAGCCTACTTTGTGCTCACCCAACCTGCCATCTGGGCCAAATCAGGGGGCAAGAGGGTGTGTGGGCACAGCCGGGGGATGTGAGACCACTTTGCTGCTATCACAATGCATCTATGGATACCGCCAACGTTAGCGAGTCACTCATTCTTCACACTTCCCTCTAAAGCATGGTGAAGGTGGCAACATCCCGCACCAAAGGCAAGATCCTCAGTTAAATGACAGCTTGGTTTGCTTTAATTAGGTAGGGTCAAAAAATAGTTAATGTGCTCAGATTCTAATGGCAGTAATTTCTTTTGAATGCCCTATTTTTTCTGAGATCACAGTGTAGGAGTTCATGTGGAGAGACTGCTGAATCACCTTATCCATAGATAGTATGTTTTAATGTCAACAAACATATTCTGAAGTCAGCTTTTTGATGAAGACACGATATTCTGTGGAGACAGAACTGAATAGCTTCAGCCCTGTATTCAAGAAAGAAATGTTTTCGTTTACTCTTCAAGCAAGTGGAGCTTCAAATGCTTTATAAAAGCATTTTGGATGCCTCTCACAGTGTTAGTAGTAAAGTAGTAAACTAGTTTGTGTTATTCAACCAAACATAAAATGTAACTAAAGGAAAAAGGTCTTATAGAAAGATGATAAAATTTTAAGAAGAAATTGCTAACTTAAATTTTGTTTATTTCTTCTAAATGGAACTTGCAGATTGTGTCTTTGGGGAAGAAAAAATGTCTCAACTATAATTTTCTGCCCTAGAATTGTAGGTGTTTTGAAACAATTACTTTAAAGTATATTTCTTAATGTTAAAATGTATTTCTTAATGTTATTTTCACTGTGAATTCATTCATAGAAACACTTGGTTTCTGTGCAATAAGAAGCATAAAACCACACAAGAATAATGTGTTTTGCTCATTAAAATGTTGATGCTTCTGAAATAGTCATGAAAACAGAGAAATGCTTCATATTTCTATCGTATTCTCAGTATGTTTTCTACCATATTTCTCAGTGTGTTTTTTCCAGGTTACTTTTTGCTTATGTCATAAATAAATAAGTAAATAGTAAAATTGTAATAATTTATTAATATCATCAGAAAATAAATATAATCAGAAAATAATACCAGCAGAAGTAGATGACAATATAAAAAAGAACAGGTTAAATATAGTTGGCCTAAATATGAAGTGATAAACCATGTCTTGGTGTCTACTTTAAAACTGAAAAGTAGTATCTTCTTGCTAGCTTATATTTAGAATCTTTATATAAATTTAACCCGAGATGATAAAGTGCATGGAAAACTGCTCAACTTGAAAGGGCATCAGTTCTGCTTATGTGGGGAGTTAAGCTAATGGTTGCAAAAGTCTGAATGGAGATTTAAAATTGTTCAAAAATAATTCATTGATTCCTTCTAGCTGTTCCAGGCTGCATGTGATGGAAGTATCTAGTTCAGATTAATCCAAGTGAAGCAGTATAGTATTAAAGTGAGAGCAAAGCAAGAATGACTAATTATAGAAAGCAGAAGCCA